AAAATTGCATTTTTTTGCTAATTTAATTTCTCAAAACTTTTGGGTTGTGTTTGTAACCAAACACAAGTGGCAAAGACCTTGGTTACTCAAAAGTAGAGTAACCAACCATTTGACGATATCGCAATTACAATGCATCGGAAACGGCCTGAAGTGTCTGAGTTTTGTTTTAAGCAAACGATATAATGAAGTATCTTTTTTTTAATTTTAGCAAACATTTTCAAAGGTGATTTTTTTAATTGGATTTTTAAATTAATCATGCATTAATCAAGGCATACAAAAACATGCCATACAGTATCAATTATTGTTTTGAGCGTTTTCGAAAAATGCTATTCTGAGAAATGGATTAAAAATCAAACTTTGTGTATCCAGAACTACGATATGCACACAAAAAACTAATTTTGCATCCAAAAAATCTTTCTTTGTTTAGAAAATGTATGTTTGAAAAAAAATTGTTTCAAAATTAGAAAAAAATCAAAATTTTTTGGGACAACTTCGATACCGCTTAGAAAAATGTTTGATATCGCCATCAAAAAATAGTTAATCACAAAATTTCAATACATGGAAATTGTATGATTAGCATTTTTTGTTTAAAAAAGGTCTTTTTCATTTATGACTAAACACTTTATGCCAAAACAAGAGAAATATCTTTGAAAATTCGACAATTTCATTTTAGCAAAATGTATGACTAGTACTTTTTCATAGGCTTCGTTTGCGGAATTGTATGATTAGTGGTCTCGGTCCTTAGAGGTCAACCCGGGTCTCTAGGTTCGTTCTCTGTTTCTCTCTCTCTCTCTATCTATCTATCTATCTATCTATCTATATCTCTCTCTCTCTCTCTCTTTCTCTCTGTCCCCCTCTCTTAAGGACACCACAAAAAGGTCCCATGGTTGTGGATTCAGCAGGGCGGCCAATGCTCACTATCCTCAACCGTGAAAGGATTAAAATGCTGGGAATTATGCTGTTCTATTTCATGTCAATTGCCCCTTTATTTAAAGACTATTAGCGCTGCCTCTTCCGCTCGATATGTTCGCAAGAATTTCCAATTGTAATTAAACTAAGATGAAAAACATCCAAACTCAGAAATCTCTGAGTGGCCAGAATATAGTCTAACAATCTAATCAAAAGAAAGAGTCCGCGATTTATCAGCAAAAAATTTTAGATGAAATTCAATTTCCCGTTAACATTAACTTACAATTCTTAACTCTGGCCATCCTCGATAGCTCAATCAAATATTTATCACCCCTTTGAAATCACTAACTTAACGTATTCTCCCTCGATTGTGAGAAGCTCTGTTCGCCCAAAAATTGAACTTTTCTCTAAGTAACTACGAGAACCCAAATACTCTCAGCAGCAGCTAATTTTGTTTTGCCTAGAAGTAGGCTACCCAAAAATTTTTCGCTATGTTTTTCTATTTGAGTTTTAGTTATTGTTATAGTTATGATCGACCCCACAAGTCCTGATACACTTGCACAAGATCTTAACCGGAAGTTTCTCTCGACGACACTAGTTATGAATTTGGCCATACGTAAATTCAACTAAGTTTTGCATTTTTTAACTCCAATTCATCCTTTAAACAGAGCTGTGTTCAAGTGACCAATCTCCCAAGGATTTTATTTAGTTGTCCCGTTAACGTTCGGACCTCCCGGGAGTAGGTAAACGCCCTTTTCATGGATGGCTTTTTAATACAAGCACCTACAAAATCCCATCTATACTTTATTCGAATTTCGAACTTATAGCTATCAAGGGAAAATAGCAAACTGTGCCAGAAAGTAACCTCCGGAGCTAAATAATTATCACGCCCCTTAATATAATTTAGCAGACCTATTTTCAATCACGACTGCCTAATACTGCCGATATCCTCTGAGACTACTTTCCTTTTATCTAGTTGACTTTCTATTGATGCCTTCTTCACCATGTTAAGCTGAATCTGTTGTTTCCAGGTCGACTTCAATTAATTCCACTACTTCAAGGTTACAATGTAAAAACTATATCCCATTCAGCTGCTGCTTCTAATTCCAGTAGATGATTTTAATCCCAGTTATAAGTCAGCTGACCGATTTCAGTTTCAAAGGCTTGGGTCCGGAGAAAGTGCCACTCTGCGGTGTTAACTCCGGAGTTTTCGATGCAATTTTGGTTATAAACGCCTAAAGGTCTTTTGAAGGTAACTCCGGGATCACCCGAAGTCAATCTTCCGTATTCGGGTTTAGAATCCCCAAGGTTTTATTGCCCTTGCTCATTGTTTTGTATAAATTACCTATTTTTTGGTCTATGGGTTGTTTTCCTAGTTGCTTATAACTTCCGGTCCAAACGGCGTTTTCGGCTCAAATCACGATACCCGTTGTAATTTATCACCACTTATCATATCCTAAATTTTTGGCTTCCTGTATTAAGTGTGGCCTGAGAAACAACTTGCAAACATGAACTTCAATTAACTAGGTCTATAACATCTCGTTTTTAGTTCCATTACATCCACTAGTTACCGAGTTCTCATTCCGGGAATCGTTATCTTTTGCTCCAGGGGTTTTTAGGGGTCCAAATTGTTGCATACAAGTTTGAATCATCTCTAGTATCATCCTTAATGATCTTGATAAAGTTAACTTTCTTATTTTCCATTTGAGGGTTTATCACTATCGGTACCCTTTTAAATTTTTCACCAGAGGAAGGTCTAATTTTTCAAGAAAATAACTTATTTTGATTTTGACAGTTTGTGTACTTCTCAATTTATCGTTTTTGTTAGTGATTCTCTAGCGACGTAATACTCATTACTAACTTTCATACTGCATGCATTTCTCAAGGTAAAACTCTCGTCGAAACCGTTGGCGAAAAAGTGTAAGGGTCACCAATCCTACGGAGGGTTTAGTTTTTAGGTTTGTTCGTTTTTGCACTTGTTTCCAGGAATGGTTCACATGGGGTTTTTCTATCGAGCGGGTGAATTGATCTTATTTCAGTATCGTGAAGGAGTCAGAAAAAAGACAACTAATGTTGATGTTACCTTTTGTCCAGTGAAAGGTGGTCTGGATCTTGCTGAATTGGTGGAAGAAGTTGTTTTGAGGTTACAGGCTGAGAGGGAAGTGAACATCGATATGTGGGCTTAAAACATTTTTAGTTGTTATTATCGAGAGGTTTGCATTTGAGTTTTTTCGAGGATTTGTTTGCGTGGTTCATCTACCCTTTGAAATGTGTAAAGTTTTTTTTGTTTTGGTTTTTTTTATTATGAAGGGGTTGTATTGTTTCAAGGCGAGAGAGTGAGCGTAAGTTAAGACAAGACTGCTCGTATTATTTCAAGGCGAGAGAGTGAGCCTAAGTTATAACAAGTTCTGACTGCCTTTTAAACTCTATGGAGCAGTAATAACATAAAAAAATTAAACGTAAGAAATTGTAAGCAAAGTTTTTTTTTTGTAAATTGAGTTTTTCTGTGAAAATCATTCGCCCACACGCTATGGAAAGCACAAAGTGATATAATTCTCTCCTAGTAACAAATAAATTATGGGAAATAAGCTTTCTCCAACCAATTTGGAACAATTTCTAAAACGGAGCTAATCTCCGCTTCCGCGCCAATAGCGCAATTTATATCGCGTGTTAAATGTCACAAAAATTGGCCAAAATGGCACTCTTTAAATCCCCATAATTGTACAAAAATGAATGCAGGTAAAATATTTTTTCGAATTTAAGCTCAAGACAAAAGAATTTTAAAAAAATCAGTCAAAACTGGCTAGTTAAAAAGTCGAAACTTGTCTGAAGAAAAAAAACACCCCGAGCACAAATATTCCGTTACTTTCGTTACAAAAGTCGGAACAAAAAAACCCGGAGCATAAATGTTCCATTAGTTTCGTGACGAAAGTCGGAACAATAAATCTGTGGTGGGTTTTGAAATTTTTGTTTAATTGTTGCATTTCGGTTTATTTGGGCGCAGTTGTTTGCGTTTCGTGAGGTTCATTTAAACTGTTTTGCTGTGTTATATCTTAATTCTTCGCGTTGAAAAGAAAAAATCCAGAAAAGAGGCTGAGATAAACCCTGCAAAGGTTATAAGCAACACTAACTAGTTGATTTACTTAAATGGGCTATTGCGCAAGCGTTATTTTCTCCTTCAATTAGTGAGAAAATGATTTTAAAAAAATCTATTCAATTATAAGTTCTTTCTGTGATAAATTCCAAAAAAAAATAGCATTTAGGTAGACCAGTTCTAAAATTATCATCGCTGATATGAACTGTAAGCGATGTTTTTGCCTAATTAGCGCGCGCCTGAATTAGTCCAGAAAATGGATTATTATTTATAAACTATTATTTCGATTGCCGAAAATTGACTGAACAAAGAAAACTACCCCTTTGTATAAATAATCCGTACTCTTCGAAAGACGGAACAAAAAACCATACCAAGCTTCAAGGGCGGATCTAGGATTTTCTCGAGGGGGATGGGGCGGATTTTCAAAAGGGAGGACGGACTTTTTTTTTTTTATTCTGAGAGGGTTGTATAGTTTCAAGGCGAGGGAGTGAGCGTAAGGTATAACAATAGTGCCTCAGGAATTTGACCCCCTGCCGACCCAAAAACCATTCCTTCTTACTATTTTGAGGTATCCGTTTTTGGCTGACTGACCCGACAATTTTTCTAACAGCGCCTTTGGCGCCAAAGTATACAAATTTTGAGGGGGGATTGAAGGGGATCCAAATTTTTCAAAAAGTGCATAAAAACGCCTTTTTTGGCCTGTTTTTTCAAACATTTGTCCGTGGCGCACAGTTTTTATTCAAAATGAGGTCTTTCTATTTCTAGTGATTTGGGAGAGCTCAGAAAATCAATTTGCTCGACCGAAAAAAAAGGTCGACAAAAATTTCAATTTTTTTTTGAAAATCCGCCCTGTCCCCTCTCGAGAAAATCTTAGATCCGCCCCTGGATGAACCTTAATTGTCATGATTGGGGTGACGCAAAGGCAGCCCTGCTGAAAACTGAATTAATCATCATTTTAAGTATCAGTTTTTGCGCAATAATGATTTGAACTACATACCTTTTTTGGTTGCCATTTTTATACAGTTTTTAAATGAAATTTTATTGTTTCCTGAATGAATTGGGAAAAAGGAGAAGAAAGAAACAAATTAAGTCTTACATTTTTAATACAATTGTTGTCATCGTTACGTTTATTGAGCATGTACCTCTTCAAGTTTAACTCAAAAAGGGAAAACATCTGGCTCTTATCTGGCAGCTCGCAATTTCAAAAGACAAAACTTGTATATTTAATGAGTATTGCCAAAGATCTGTCGAGATTACGCGCAGTATATCAATATTTAAAAAACTAAAATTACTGGCTTCATGTAGAAAACGCCAATAAGATTTTTGACGGAATAAAGGAACTCAAATTAATAAATAATGATATTTCCTGCACAACCACAGCCATAATTTTTTATATAATACGCCAGCTTTCCTGTAATCAATAGGATTATAATTCGGTTCAATGACAATCAACCCCATTCCATTCTATCATATACCATTTTACCCATACTAATCTAAGTAGGGCTGACTATAAAAAAGTAGATTGTCCTGAACCACTTTGTGCAAGTATCAAGTAGACTCAAGTTTACCCCATGTCACCCATGACTCGACCTTATTCGGTTCATGAGTTGACCCTGTTCGACCTATGATTCGACTCTGTTCGACTTATATATCGGTCGACCCTGGTCTTCTTATGCACCCGCCTATGTACCGACCCTTCCCAAAAATCAAATTGAGCGAATGTTTTTTTGCCTGTTCTGATGTTTTATCTATGACATTCTACAGACACAGGGCAGAAATTATAAGCTGTCGAGACTGATATAACCTTAACATATACTGATACAACGCAGACCAACATCGAGTAGACATTTGAAACAAACTTGTTGCAGGTTTGTTATTGCTTCTAAAACAGTAAAAGGATTTCGATTCTGTGGAAAAGCAGCTCGTCACTTTTTTAAACTACCGTCGTATACTTTCACTCAATGTCAATTAGTGACCGCAGAAGAACACTGTTCAAAAAATCTGACAATTAATTTTCTTAAAAAACGAATTAATTCTTAGCTACAGTTTCACTGGCACTGTTTATTATGTATGAGAATGAATTTTATTTTTAAGATAATAGCGTTTTGGCGTATCTGGTACTCATTATGACCAAAAATAATTAAATCACACGGTTTTAAATCACTACAACTTGCAAAATGAGCGCTTGCAAGATAGCGATAGCTGATTGGGTTCAAGATTGAGTGAGCTATAGTTCAACCTCAAATAATAAACTTTCGGGTAAAATTCGATTTTCTCGCGATTCTGTTCAAGTACTGTTTTTCTAATTGCTAATTTTACATTTTTCCACATAAGACCCTCAGCAGCTTAATAACAAGAAGTATTAAACCTTCCACAACGTATGTTTGTACAAAGGTGAGCCATATTTTACTGCAGACTCTGATATAAAAGATTCCAGTGTTTGAAACGTTTTTGTCTACTAAAGGTTTTCCGGTTTATTCTGGACTCTTTGGCCCTGCTAGCTAAAAAGAACTAACTGGAGAAAACGTGTACAATTGTAGCTTTTTTAGTGTCATCCTGAAAAAAAATTTTTTTCAAAGGAACCGTTTTTTTTAACTGTTACTTTTCTTCTAAAATACTAATTATTTGTTGCATGTTACTATTGTTCCGACCTTTTATCGATGAAAATCAGCAGATACACAATTATGGCATAGGGTGGGCGAAAAAGTCTAGAATTTTATAACCTAGAGAAAAATTGATATAAATCCTGGAAAACATCAAATAGTTCTTTGAAATGAATTTATGGAAAGTTTGTTCCTGGTTCCAAAACAGAAGAAGGACTCAAATTCTGTAAAATAGCAGCTCACCACTCTGAAATATTGCGTGTTTTTTGCTACCATTCTAACTTCTCAGTCAGTGTCAAAGGAGTTGAAAAATGTGTGACTGCAAAATAAAATTGATTGGCAAACTATCTCTTTATTTTCCTTACAAACTGCTTGTCACTGTTTTGTATCTGTGATAAACAATATTATTAATCAGATAGTAGCATTAGTTTCACTACAAGGATTTTGATTCCATGGAAAAGCAGCTCGTCAAACGCTGAAAATTTTTTTATCACCAATGCACAATTTTTAATCAATATCAAAAAATTCTGAAAAAATTAGTCGCCTCGAAAAATTTTTTTTTGAAACGTTTCATAATTGTTTTTCTTAACAAATTTCCACATTTTTGCTTGGCGCTTCTCTGGCACGGTTTTGTGTGTGTATAAGACTCAAAATTATCGATAACGAAATGGCGTTATGGCTTATCTGGTAGTGATCATGCACAAAAAAAATCGATTGCGGTTTTAAATCACACGTATACTGCAACTTGCTAAATGAGTGCTTGCAAGATAGCGATAACTTACTGGGCTCAGCAACCTGTGAACTGTAGTTCGATCTCAAATCATAATCTTTTGGGTATAATTCGATGTGCTGGCGATGCTTTCCAAGTATTATGTCTACATGTCATTTTTAGGCTTTTTTCCACAGTTTTTCTTCAACAGCTTAGTAGCGAGAAGAATGAAACTTTCAGAAACGAATGTTACTATAACGGGAAACTATATTTTACTGTGGACTCCGATGTAAAAATTTCCGTTTTTTAAATTTGTTTATTAAACTTTTTCACCTTTTTGACGCTTCCTAGACGCTGTTAGCTAAAAAAAAATTTATTTGGAGAAAATGTAATTTTTTGTATTTTTTTGGCATCCTGAAAAAAAAATTACTCAAAGGTGCCGTTTTCTTTATTTGTTTTGTTATCTTTTTGAGTGATACTGATTACTTGATGCCTGTTAAGATTGTTCTGATGTTTTATTGATGAATTATAGGTTTTTTCAACAATCGTTCCCCAACAACTTAGTAACAAGAGTAATCAAACCTCCAAAAACGTAAGTTATTATAACGGGAAACCATACTTTACAGTGGATTCTAATATGAAAACTTCCATTTTTTAAATCGTTTTTGTCTACTAATGTCCCTTTTCACGTTTCTGTTTTATTTTTTGAACTCTTAGACCCTGCTAGCTAAAAGAATTATCTGAACAAAAGCGCATGAACAACGCCAAGTAGTTATTCTAAATAAATAAGTAAAGTAGTTATTTGAAACTCATGAAAAGTTTGTAAGTGGTTTTAAAACAGAAGAAGGATTTCAGTTTTGTAGATTGACAGCTCGTCACTGAAACACTGTGGTTTTTTGCCTCCATTATACACTTTTCAGTCAGCATCAAAAAATTGGAAAAATTAGTTGTCGCAAGATAAACTTGTTCGGCAAACTTCATGGTTATTTACATAAAAAACTGCAAAACTTAACGCTACCGGTTCCTTGTTGCTGTTTCGTATCATTGAAAATCAATATTTTTTTTCACACTAGTATCCTTACCAAGAATTCAATTCCATTAAATAGGAGCTCGTCCTTAGAATGCTACCTATTTTTAACAACAAAAAAGACTTTTCAGTCAATGTCAACTTCCAGTAATCGTTATAACTTGCCCCAGGGGGGTCATAGGGATCCGAATTTTGCATGCCCTCATCGAATTATCTTTAGCATCCGAACTATGAGTTTAAAAAAGTTAGTTTCCTCAGTCTCCATTTGTCGGCGGGTATCACTATCGGTACCGTTTTATTTTTTTCACCAAAGGAAGGACAAATTTTTTAAAGATTTGAACTCAATTTGGACTAAACACTTTGTGTATTTCTCTACTTATCGTATATATTATTGAATTCCAAGCTATGTACTAATCATTAACCTTCACTATTCTGCATTCAAAACTCAAAGTAAATTTTTCAATCGAAATGAGAGTTTGCCGAAAAAATGTTAGGATTACCGATCCTACAAAAGCTTTAGTTTTTGGGTTTGTTCGTACTTGCACTTGTTTCTGGGAATAATTCTCGAGTGATGTTTTCATCTAGTGAGTTAGATGGTCTGATTTCAATATCATGAAGGGGTTAGAAAAACAACTCTCAAGGTTACTTTTCAACAAAAAAACCAAAGAAGTCGGGGGTCCAAAGAAGTCGGGAGTTGCTGAATTGATCGAACAAGAAGTTGTTTTGAGGTTACAGGCTGAGAAGGAGTTGGACAACGACATGTGGGCTGAAGATATTTTAGTTTCTTTAACAAATAGTTTGCATATGAGTCTTTTCTGTGATTCGTTTGCGTGGTTAATCTAATCTTTAAAAATTGTTATGTTTTTTTTTCGACCAATGAAAATGGGGAGGAACTTTGTATTTGGATGTGTTTATGTTTTTTTCCTTTTTGTTTTCCACGCAAAATCAGCTACCACAAATAATAATCGGACAGAGTTGAGTGTTATATCATATAAAATCCCTTTCTATCGCGATTCGAAAGACAATAAAAACGTTGAAATTTCTGATTTTTGGTCTATTTTCGAGCTAATTAAAAAGGTAGTTAGTAATTTCAATAGCTTATTTAGGCCTAATTTTAGCCGTGAAATTTTAATTTTGCGCAAGCAAAGGTAGTTTTTAGAGTTTTTAGCGCAATTTTGGCAATCAAAAACTTGAAAATTCAAAACATTTCAGCAAAAAGTTTTTAAAAAGTGTTTGAAATTTTTTTTTCTTTTTTTTTTCATTCTTCTTGTCAATTCTCTTCAAAAAGTGTTTTGCAGTTGATCTATTTTACTATTACTTTCAAATATGCCTAAATTCTATTTTTGAGTTCAAACTATTTTTATCACAACATGCAGAAAAAAATGTCACCAATTCGAGAAAACTTTTTGTATTTTTTTAAGACTGTGGTCGGAACATTATGCGTTACTTGCACAGTAACCGCCTATCCTGGTTTTGTTTTGGTTTTTTTGAAGGGGTTGTATAGTTTCAAGGCGAGGGAGTGAGCGTAAGGCATAAAAAGTTTGTAGTGTGTTCTTAAATGTTTGTTTATATGTTGCATGTTATTGTGTTTCAAGAGATTCATTCAAAGTGTCTAGCAGTTTTTGTTGTGTTTTCCTGTTCTATCCTAATTCCTTGAGTGGAAAAAGAAAAAAAAATCATGCAATGAGCCTGAAAAAAATCCTGCAGGGGTTGTGTTTAGCGCTAGTTTGTTGATTTAAATGAATGTGCTATTGCACAAGCG